GGCCCCCATGATCCCCGAGGCACCCCCTCTCCTGTTCTCCTCAGTCTGGGTGGGCTGGGTAGGAATATTGGCTTTGGAGTCTCACAGAACTATGCCTTTTATCAGTTGTGGGGCACTGAGAAAAGCATCTCACCTTTCTAAACTTAGAGTTTCCTCATCTGTAAAACAGGGATAAAAAGTGGTGCACACTTGACAGCGTTGTTGTAATAATCAAATGAGATAATGCACATAAAGGGCTTAGTATTGAAACCACTACATAACATGCACTTGGTACAGAATGGTAAGCATCATTCATTCACACATGCATTGGTTCACCATTTAACATCAGACATGGGGAACACAGGTATGAACAAGGTCCAGTCCCTGCCCATAAGAAGCCTGTGCTGAGGGGCGCCTGGGTGGCTCAGTCGTTAAGCATCTGCCTTTGGCTCGGGTCATGATCCTGGAGTCCCGGGATCGAGTCCCGCATCGGGCTCCCTGTTCGGCAGGGAGTCTGCTTCTCCCTCTGACCCTCCCCCCTCTCATGCTCTCTGTCTCATTCTCTCTCAAATAAAAAAAAAAAAAAAAAGAAGCCTGTGCTGAGTATTTGTGTGGGAGTGAAGACAAATAAACAGGTGATTACCACACATGTGATGGGTGCTGTGGCGAAGGCGCCCACAGAGTGTTGACGGGAGCACAGATGAAGGGCACACTGGTTGCCATGATGATGATGATCATCACCAGAGCATGGATGAAATGTTGACGAGACATCCCATTACCCAGGAGTCAGATCAAGACCAACCCTGAAAGTCAAGTCAGAGATGTTAGCCTTATCCTGAAGGCCATGGGAGCAACTGCAAAATCTAAAACAGTGGAGGGACTTTGCACCATCTGCATTCGGGAAGGTCACTCTGGGCCCAGGTAGAACAGTTAGGAAGCTGTAGAATTCCAGGTGAGAAAGAACGAGGTACCATCAAGGAACTGAGGGTCCTAATGAGGCCCAAGAGCCATGATCTACTGTAGCAGGGGAGTAAGAAGGCCAGACTGATGGGAATTTTCAATCAGAGTCTAGGATATGAAGAATCACTAAGGAATATGTAATGTATCTCCTAAAATGCAAAAGTCTACAGAATGGGATAGCCAACTTCATCATTCACACTGTATTATTGAAAATGACACCTCAACCAAGGCTAGCTAGAATACTATTTCTCCGAATTGGTGTCTCCAACAAAAAGTTTTGTTGTTTGAATATCCTGTACTATGTTTCAGAGAACTATAGTTTGATCCAAGGTTATCATTCTCTTCTATCAATGCATGACCTCAAATTTACCATATCTCCAACATGGTGAGTGTATTGAGGAAATAGTGGACTGGCCATCTCAAAATGCTGGGTTTCTCTGCTTTATTTGTGTCTGAATTGTGTCCAAGGCAGCTGAAAAGATTCATTAACATTATCACTCACAGATTTCCTAATCAAATGCTAGACACTGTCAATCACATCTTGTATTTTACTGTGGGTTCTCAGAAATGAGTGTTATAGGAACACAGCATTCACTTATACCAGTTTCTTTTCTTTTCTTTAGCTTTTATGTAATTTAGATGCTTGCTGAGCATCTTTATTGTCCGAGGGTAAGGAAGAATTTCAGAGTGTTTTCCAGACACTATTTCATTGTTTTCAGTAAACTCGTCCCCTGACTCTTTCGCCCCTCGGTGACTATACTCTTGGCTTCCGACAGGTTAAATGCACTGATCTGCTCTAGCAACTCTGAATCTCCATGCTTCTTCTATCCTCCTGTAAGCCTAGGTTTGAATCAGAAGTTAGGTGATGCCTTCCTCAGGGACTCAATTATATGCATTCAGTATTCCGGGTAGGAAAGTTAACTCTTGTGTTGGATCTGTGCCATTTTTACCTGTTTCTTCTGTCTAAAAAAATTGGGGTGGAATATATCCTAATGAAGTTTTTGATACTACACTGAGCCTGTTTGACCTAAAATAATCTGCTTCTCCAGGGTACAAACACAAAGCTATTTGGCCCAAGATATATCCAGATTCCAAGAACTCCTGAAGCCCTGCTTCTTTTGAGGCCAAGTTCAGGTTCACCCTGTGAGTCCTTCCTCTGTAGTAGCTGTTAAAGTGACAAGCTCACACAAAGCACTTCCAAACGTTTATTGAAGAGTAGATTTCAGTTAAAGGGAAATGTGCTATGGCAATTACTCTATAAGTGTCTTGACATAAAAACAAATCAATAAATCAAAGATGTTAAGAGCCTGGTTGTGAAACAGAATACTCAGCATGTATTTTATTAGCTAAGATGGATGATAATTCAAAACTCATGCTACAGAACATCTATAAAGTATAATGTAAAGGAAAAGAACTCTTTTACTTGAGGCTGGTGAGACTTGGGAAAGAGAGCAGAAGATTGGAAATGCCAGTGTTCATCACAGAGATTGAGGGAGTCTCAGAGGGTGTGAGTGGGAAAGAATTAATTTAACATTTATTGCTCACCTACGCTGTGCTGGGGGCCCATGGTAGGCACTTTGTAGACATCTTTTTAAATCTTTTTTTAACATAGGCTTCATTTTTTAGAATGGTGGTAGGCAATATTGAGCAGAAGGTACAGAATTTTCCCATACACTCCCTGCCCCCACACATGCTTAGCCTTCCCTAATCATCATCCCCCCCCATCCCCACCATCATGGAATAGTTGTTACAACTGATGAACTTACACTGACACATCATCATCCAAAGTCCATAGTTTGCATTAGGGTTCACTTTTGGTGTCGTACATTCTGTGGCTTTGGACAAATATAAAATGATGCATATCTACCATTATAGTGTTATACAAAGTCATTTCACTGCCCTAAAAATCCTCTGTGCTCTGCCTATTCACCCCTGCCTCCTCACTAACCTCTCATAACCCCTGATCTTTTTTTTTTTTATCCCCATAGTTTTGTCTTTTCCAGCAATTCATCTTGTTGGAATCATACAACATGTAGATTTTCAGATTGGCTTCTTTCACTTAGTACTATGCGTTTAAGTTTCCTCCATATATTTTCATTGATTGCTAGCTCATTTCCTTTTAATGCTGAATAATATTCCATTGTTTGGTTTATTTACTCACTAACCTACTGAAGGACATTTTGGTTGCTTCCAAGTTTAACATTCATGTGCAGGTTTTTGTCTGGATGTAAGTTTTCAAGTCATTTAGGTAAATACCTAAGAGCATAATTGCTGTATCATATGGTAAGAGTATTTTTTTTTTAGTTTTATCAAAGTATAATTGACAAAGTTGTAAGATATGTAATGTGTGCCATATGTTTAGGTTTAAAAAATCCTTTTGAATTTACTGAGATTTGTTTAGTGACCTAACATGTAATCAATTCTGGAGAATGTTCCATTTGTATGTTTAGTTTTGTAAGAAACTGCCAAGCTATCTTCCCAGACTGGCTATATCATTTTGTATACCCAACCAGCAATGAATGAGTATTCCTGTTGCTTCACAGTCAGCATTGGGTGTAGTCAGCATTCCAGACTTTGGCCATTGTGTAATGGTATCTTGTTTTAATTTGCATTTCCCTGATGACATATGATGTGGAGCATCTTTTCATGTGCTTATTTTCCATCTGTATATCTTTTTGAGGAGATGTCTATTAAGGTCTTTTGCTCATTTTTTAAACAGGCTGTTTGTTTTCTTATTGTTGAGTTTTGAAAGTTCTTTGTATATTTTGGATAATAGTCCTTCATCAGATCTGTCTTTTCCAACCATATTTCCCAGTCTGTAGTTTCTGTTCTCATTCACTTGACAGCATCTTTCATAGAGCAGGAATTCTTAATTTTGAGCCCAGCTTAGCAGTTATTTCTTTCATGGATTGTGTCTTTGGTGTTGTATTGAAAGGGTCATCAGTAAACCCAAGGTCATCTATATTTGCTCCTGTGTGATCCTTTAAATCTCCTTGACAATCCCTCCATCCCTATTTTACAGAGCCGGGCTTAGAAAGGGTGAGTGATTCTTCAATGCCACTAAGTTAGTAAGTGGTGGGACTGGATTCGAACATAGGTCTGTCCAACCTCAAAGCCAAGCCAGGAGGCTCTCTCCTTACTCTATGGCGGCTGCCTCAGAGCGTGATCAGATTGGCTCTTGTCCAAGGTGGGCCAAGGTCTCTGTCCACACTGAGATTCTAGGTCACAGATTAGAGCACAGAGAAAAATGTGTACTCCCTTTGCCTTTTTGACTCGAAGGACTGCTACTGAATTTTATCTTCCTGTGCCTGAAGGATACTCCTCCTGTGTCATTGTCATTCATCCTTACAAAGGTAGCTCACTGAGGGTGATGACCTCTAGAATTTTGGCTGAACTGGGCAACTGAGCTCCTCATTTTTGCTGGTAGGATTTGAGAGAATTTGGGGGAGATGGTACAGGTCCAAATGGAGAATTAGTGAGGTTTTACAATGTTGTTACAAACTTTATGATGTGAGTTGATTGTTTCATGTAGCCTCATAAAACAAGTCAGAGATGGTGGAGGGTGATTACATCACTCCCCCTGCCCTCCCAACAGAGATGAAGCCTTCTTTAGTGCACGAGAGCTTTCCTGATGCCCCACTCAGGCCAGCCCAGTTTTCAGATTTTAATATGTTCTTGTAATAGTTGTGGAGAAAAAATGAGGAAGAAGGGAGGAAACCCATTGGCCCAACTTGTTGCTCTGCCATTCCTGGCGCAGATGAATGACTGACGTCCCAGCAGAGCACCAAAACGTACAGAAACAGGCCTGCTTGGCTTGGATAGTAAATAAATAAGCCGCTTATACCTTTCTTGGATGGCAGGCCAAAGTTTTGTCCTCATAGCAACTCCCCCCATCGTTTGCTCTGCTTACACAGATTATCAGCCTCTGTCCCAACCCCAAGCTACCTAAGGAGGAGGAGCCGGGTCTTGCTCACTCCTTATTTATAATTAGCTTCGAGTGAGGGAGAGGGACAGGCAGGGTTGCTTCCTGCTCAGGCTGCTTGCCTGAGTTACATCCACAAATGCCTCGGAAGCAGCAGGCTGACTGCATCGTTCTCTTCACATTCCTGGGTCTGTCTGGGCTGGTTGGTGCAGTGACCAGAACATACCACATTGGGATTGTGGAAGAATACTGGAACTATGTACCCCAAGGCAAGAACGTTGTTAGCGGAGGAAGTTTTTCAGAAGACAAGTGAGTAAAGTTGGGGTTCTCACAGACTCCCAGGCTCACTTTTTTTTTTGACTCTGCATGGAGAAAGTTATAGTCCTTGGGATGTTATTGTGGGGGTGACATGATCTAAACCAAGTGGAGGGGCTTTGTGTTTGTTTGGAGAGCCCTCACAAGGATGGGTATGTAATGTGGAAGAGAGATTCTTGGCCCTGCCTATTTCTTGAGCCTTGTCTGTAAAGTGCTATATACACAACCAGGCGTTTTGAATAATGGCTTATTCTATAGAAGGACAATTTTCACTGAGCACTACTAGGGACTTCCAGGGGGTTCTGGACTCAGTTTGTTAAAAAAATAATGGCAACCCTTGGAATGAGCATTTGAGAATTTTCCAGAATTCTTTACTGTTAAAACACACTATTTTCTTAGTTTTTATTTTTGGAATGAAACATCATCATTGGAGATAAGTATGCTATAAGTAGTTAAGTTTTGTTTTTGTTTTGCAATGTTTAAAAGAGGGCATTTGCAATAGATTTGGCTGGTATTTTAAGAGTTTCCCCAAGTCCTCTTAGAAATGGCTTTTTCCAGCAATGTCCACAATAGCCAAACTGTGGAAAGAGCCAAGATGTCCATCGACAGATGAATGGATAAAGAAGATGTGGTATATATACACAATGGAATATTATGCAGCCATCAAAAGGAATGAGATCTTGCCATTTGCAATGATGTGGATGGAACTGGAGGGTATTATGTTGAGCGAAATAAGTCAAACAGAGAAAGACATGTATCATATGATCTCACTGATATGAGGAATTCTTAATTGCAGGAAACAAACTGAGGGTTGCTGGAGTGGGGGGTGGGGTGGGAGGGATGGGGTGACTGGGTGTTAGACACTGGGGAGGGTATGTGCTCTGGGAAGCGCTGTGAATTGTGCAAGACTGTTGAATCTCAGATCTGTACCTCTGAAACAAATAATGCAATATATGTTAAGAAAAAAAAAAGAAGAAGAAGAAGAAGGTAGTGGGAGGGGAAGAATGAAGCGGGGGAAATCAGAGGGGTAGACGAACCATGAGAGATGATGGACTCTGAAAAACAAACTGAGGGTTCTAGAGGGGAGGGGGGTGGGAGGATGGGTTAGCCTGGTGGTGGGTATTGAGGAGGGCACATTCTGCATGGAGCACAGGGTGTTATGCACAAACAATGAATCATGGAACACTACATCTAAAATTAATGATGTAATGTATGGGGATTAACATAAGAATAAAAAAAAATCAATACTATCAATAAATTTTAAATAAAATTATAATATGCTAAAAAAAAAAAGAAATGGCTTTTTCACTAGTGAGAGGTTTGTTTTAGCTCTGACTCATTCAATCTGAGGACAATATTCTGGTTCCCGGGCCCATGGCATAGCTGGGTGAGTTGGTGTCAGAGTGTTGTATGTCTCTGATTTTTTATTTTTTGCGGAAAATAGCCCTTGCTCTCCCCTTCTCTCTCAGGGTCCAGTGTCTTATATCTTTTATTTGTTCCTTGAAGTTCCCTCTTAAGTCACGTCCCAGCTCCAGAAGCTGTAATGCATACTTTCAATATTGTGGTTCTTAGAACATCTTTTGGGATGTTCTGGCAATCGCTGTTGGATATTCAGATACACTGGCTTCTTTCTGATAGGAAGAACCCAGTTCATTCAACATCTAAGTTCCATTTTCTAAAGACGAAGTTAGTTGCTAACATTCAGGAATACCATGGAGTCTTCCAACATGTCTTTAAGAGCCAGGTCCCCCTGCCCCGGGGGAAGACCAAAGATCTAGTTGGCTGAGACACACAGCTTCCGGGTTTTCTAATAATACAAAGGTGGCATAGTCATGTTTGGTTAAAGAAGGATGAAATTCCTGCCAGCCAGGCTGCCAAGAAAGATTCTTCCTTAAGCTTTGTACCAGGAAACTTAATGTCCAGGGGGCTGTTTCCGAAGAAAGCTCTTGACTTCTTTCAATCTCATATGTGCTGACACAGTCTTTACTGTGATGAATGGATATGGGATTGAGAGGCTACCCTAACTGCCATTGGCCTTCCCTAAAATGGAGCTCTGCTGTCCTCATAAGGGGCTCAATAGAAAATAGTCATTGTGGGCAGCTATTGAACATGAGACTGTTCAAGATGTGTACGCTGAGCATAGTGAGTACAGTCTTTAAGCACAATGAAACGCTGGGCTGCCTTTCCACAGGTTGAGTAAAAAGCTTCGAAGTCTATCTTTCTCCTAAAATGTCAGTGTAGCTGTTTGTGAGCATTTATTCTGACCCAGGAGTTCCACCAGAGACTTTCAACTCATTATTGTTTACAGGTGGTATCATTTCCACTTTACAAACCAGTAACTGAGACCCCGAGGTTAAGTACTTGTTGGAGTTTACAGAGTAAAGGCAGCACCAAAGTCACATTTTTTCACCATGCAACCTGTTTCTTGGTAAAGGTGATCCTTTCCCACTGAATTGAACTCAGCTGTGATAGTAGCCAGGGATTCCAGTAAAAAGAACTTTCTAGAAAGTTCCAATTCTTACCAAAGGTAGGTTTAGTCCCACGGGTCACTCTTCTCAGAGAGACGTTGAAAATGATCACTGGTGTCAGTAGCCAAACCGGTTACCTGGATTCATTCAAAAACCCAAAATACTTTATTTTTTTATTTTTTATTTAAAAACCCAACATACTTTAAATACTCAAATGCTACAAAGCTCTTTCCGCAAAGCTGAGTGCAGGAAGAATTTAGGGGATCTCTGTTAATTATTTCAGCCAGAAGATGGTGCTTTGAAGAACATACAATAAAGTACTTGAAAATAGCTATGGTGAAAAAGGAAAAAAAAAAAAAAAGACTAGGCATGCCTAACACGCAGTTTGGTGTCAGCCTAGAGTAGGATGGTTTAACAGATGCTGTGGTCCTGCTTGAGAGGACTCTTGCCTTTTAGGCACCGCTGGCGTTCTAGATGTCATGCCCACAGTGCCCAAGTCCCCAAGTGTTTCCTTCTAGTGTGTGAAGGGATGGTGTGTGTGCAGGGCTGCCTCCTGACTCTTAGAAGGGGAGCCTGGGTGACATGGCGCATAGTGGCTTTTGTTAGCAATCATGTCCAGCAGGTGCTACTCGTGTGAGGTGGCTCAGGGCAAGTCCCTAAGAAGGCACATTTGTAGTGGACTGCTGGCTCTTGCTTGGGGAATAGAGGACACATGTCATGATTCACAGATGTCCCAGTGAAGATGCCACAATTGTGGGACATATGGAGCTCAGTGAGTGTACTCTACTTTGTGCCATTTCCCCAGAGGCAAGGAGTCATCTTGAATAATGTGAACATGCCTCTCACTCAGCCTCCGGCACTTCTGAGGACAGTCTGCTGTTGAAGATATTCAGACCCAGACAAATGCCAGATATTTGGAGAGCCAGGTGCCTCGTATCCCACTAGGAGTGGATAGAGCCTGAAATAGGAATCAGGAGACCTGACTTCTAGTCCTTGTTCCGCCCCCAACTTGCTGTGAAACATTGAACATCTCATATAATCTCTCTGACCATCAATTTCCTTAATTTGTATAACAAGGGAGTTGAAATATAATCCCTAAAGTCGCTTGGGAAGTGTAATTCCAAGGAATCAAAAATAATTTTTGAAACTGAATGAAAACCATCTTACCTGATTCTCCAGTTCTAGAAAGATTTTTACAATGGTGAGAGAGAGATGATTTGCAAATGTTCAGTCTAGGAGTCAGAGTTGGAGAAGATCTGAGTGGGGATATGTGACAAATTTTGAAGTATTCCATATTTTTCTTTGCTTATCCATTCCCCCCCCCCGTTCTTTAAGAGCTATCTCCAATTCTTTATGCAAGAAGCATTTTCCCACAACCCTGGCTTATTCTGATCTGTTTCCTTCCTCACCGTTCATGGAACTTGGTGTCTTCCTTAAGCCTTAGACACAGCATTTTCCTCTCCCCGCATTGCTGTTGGGTGTCTGATGTACACTGGGCCCCTAGGCAGCTGAAAGATAAGCACCATGATGGCAGAGAGACAGGCCCAGAGTATGTTTAATAATCCACTCCCCACCCCCGCCCCGAGCTTTGACGGTGACAATAATCCATGGAGGACTGAGCACAAGGCTATTCATTTGGAATCATTAAAAACTAATCACTTTGTCAATTTAGTTATTCCAGTTGCTTAATCTTTGACTATGGGAATGGCAAAAATGAGGGGAACAGAATGGTGAGTGCCAAAGTTTCTGTGATGTAAAAAACTTGGAAATCAAAATTAGGCAGTACCAAAAGCCCAATAAATCCTGATTCACAAGGATGGGATAGGAAATAAATTGAGATCATTTTGCTAAGACTCCATAGCAGTCAGATGGTACAATTTAATTTTCCATCTTGGTACCTTTGCTTAATCATAGATTTCAGAAATATAATTGAGACTGTAAGCACCAATATTTCCTAGAAAGCATAAAATTCAGGAGTTATATTCTATTTAGGAATATTTTATCCAGATGAATATATATCCCCCTGCTCCCCATTGGGCCTAATGGGGACACCGGCCTCCTTTGATTTGCCTGGGGATGATGTCAGCATTTGATCCATTCATGCCTGTCCTGTTCTGGCTCATAAAGTGCTTAATTAAGGTGTTCCTGTGCTTCGGTGGTAAAGCCAAGTCTTTAATGGAACCAGAGTGGGGTCACCTTCTATAAAGCTACAATTCTCCCCAAAGACCTCATTAAGCAACCAACACACATGCAGGATTTTTCTTCCCAGTGAAATGTGGGGTTTTCACGGGTGCTAACTCACAGGCAGAACCACCCTTGGACATGAGTGAGGCCAACCACTGCACAAACCCCAAGTTTTAGGGTCTGTTAAGGAGTTTACTTAACCATATCACTGTGTCAGCCCAGTTGATGGTAAAGGATTTTGGGTACCCCCTTGAAGCAGGCCCTAGGATGTGCATAAGGGAGAGACCTATATATCTATCTGAAAGAAGAGCCAATTAATTGAAGGGAAGCATGTGGGGGAAG